CAATTTATAAAGTGCAATTTCTACTATCTATTCCATTAGCTATTCATACATACTTTTATTATGGAAACTTTTAATAAAACATAAAAATGAGCAGATGAGTACGATAACTTATTTTTACTATTGTGTATTATTTCTCATGATTCTGAGGGTTGACTGGGCACTTCTGCTGGTCTCTTCAGAGGTCACTCAAGCAGCTGAATTCAGTTGGGGCTGGACTGGGGCTTTTGGCCAGGATGCTTTGATCCTCCTCTGCAAGGCCTCTCCATGTGACCAGTCGGGCTTCCTCACAGCATGGCAGCCTTAGAGTTTGAAAAGAACAAAAGCAAAAGCTTCTAGATCTCTTAAGAACTGGAATGGGAACTGGCCCAGCAGCATTTCCGCCACATCCTATTAGTCAGAACAATCCAAAAGCCAGCCAGATTGAAGGAGAAGGAACAAAGAGCCTACCTGTTGGTTGGAGAAGCCACACATTGGCACAGAGAGGAGGAATTACTGGAACCAGCTTGGGAGACAATGTACCACAAGTGCTTACATATGCCAGGCCCTGTGCTGAGGGATCCAGATATTCCACCTCACCTAATCCTCAAACAACCCTGTGAAACAGAATACAAGCATCCCCATTTGACAGGTTTCACAGGGCACATAGGGATAGCAGAGCTGGACATGAACTTAGGTCTGTCTCTAAATCAGGCTGAACATGTGTTATGCTCCACACAAAAATATAAAGTCAGTGGCCATGGTCATACTAAGGCTTGACTCAACTGACCCAAAGTCTCTAGACACCCAGAATGTGATAGAGCTGTACATATATATTTTTTCTTTCTTTTTTTACATTTATTTTTTTAATGGAGATACTGGGGATTGAACCCAGGGCCTTGTGCATGCTAAGCAGGCACTCTACCACTGAGCTATACCCTCCCCTCAAAATATATATAAATTTAACCTAATAAAATACATAATTTTTAATTGGTGGGGAACACGGAGATACAAAGATAAAGTAAAAACAGGCATGCACTTGGAGACAAAGACCAGGGAGACAGAAACTAAGAAGTAAGGCCAGTGAGATACAGAGAGAGAAGGAAAGACTCACAGAGAGAAAGGCAAAAGGAAGAGATTGACAGAGCCACAAAGTCTCCATCCTTTAGCCTGAGAGCTCCAATGGGAGCAGGGGTTTTATCTGTTAAGACTGTATCCCCAACGCTTAAAGCAGTACCTGACGCTCCATCAATGCCCGCCAGAAACGAGGCTAGACAAGCAGAGAGCCTGCAGTTCCAAAGACACCACCAGGTGGCAGTACCCCAATGCCCTGAAGCCTCCAAACGGCTAAATCCAAAAAACAGCGGTGGAGGATTTGCTGCCACAGACCTCAGACTTTCAGGATGTCTTCCCCCAGGGGCTGAGCCCCGCCTTTCTCTGCACAACCCTGGGCCATGAGTGACCTTTCCGTCAGAGACACCCTCTTCACCCCTCCGCCACCCTGCCTAGTTAAACAATTCTTTGTCTTTGGCCCCTTCCGGCTGGGCCCCAAGGCATCTGGGACATTTCCAGGCCCGGAGATGGGGCTGGGATGAAGGTGGGGCAGCTGGGAGGAAGCCAAGGAAAAGTCTTAGGGACTTTGGAATCAGTTCTTCTAGTCTTCCTGGACCAGGAATAGAGGATTCAGCCCCTTCTGCCTCAGACCCAGGAGTCCAGGCCCACAGCCCCTCCTCCCCTCAAAGTCCCATTCAGCTGCCCCACCCCCTCCTCTCGGCACAGGGGTCCCCTGGTGGTCCCCCCTCCCTCTTTTCCAGAGACCCCTCTCCCCCTCCACTCCCCACTCCAGGATTGAGACCAAGGCTGAGTCACAGGAAGCGCTGGGGCCCTGAGTCACCCTCTCTGGGCTGGAGGGAGCTGGCTCTGGAGCCGCATGTCCAACCAACTGACCCACACAGCCCAGAACTTCCCTTTGGAGGCAGGTGCCCTTCCCACTGCGACCACATTGCTGCCCACCCTGGCGTCTCCCACACCCAGCCTTCACTCTGTTTTTCTCTTTTAGTCATGATCTCTTTGGAGATAAAATTTCCCTCTGCTCTAACTTCCATGTCTTCATTCTGACTCCTGCTTTCTCTTTACCTCTGGGTTTCTTCTGTCTCTGTTTCTTTTGAGATTTTTAAAAATTTTCTCTCTCTCCTTCACCTCTTCCCCCACCTCCTCTGTCTCCCTCCCTCCCTCCCCTCTGGCTACAGCACTCAAAGTTTCCCTCTCTCTCTTCTGTCGGTCAGTTTTTCACAGTTGCCTGCACTGAAGCACAGAGGCTGTGGAGGGCCTGGGGCTCGTGGTCTTGTTCCGTGGCTGCTGACCCTCTCAGGCAGCTGCACTCTCTGCGTCTCTGGTCCTTGACACCTGGGCGAGGCTGTCCCCCAGCTGTGCTGGTGAACAGGAGAGGGAAATGGAGGCGGAGGTCAGCTTAGAGACCCTCTAAGAGAGAGATAGAGAGAGGCCCAAAGGGAGACCTAGAGGCAGGGAGAGAGCAAGACAGAGAAACCGCGTCACCGACAGAGAGAGAAAGACCTAGAATCAAAAAGAGATGCAGATACGAAGCACTAGAGACAGAGAGAATGAGACAGAAAAGAGAGCACAGAGATGGAGACAGAATCAGAGAGCGAGAGACAGAGACGGCAGCACAGAGACAGAGAAGGAGGAACACAGAGAGGGACAAGGGGGCAGAGTCAGTGCCAAGGAGGGAGAATGAAATAGAAAAGCAGAGATAGAGACAAGAGTTGCTGAGAGCCAGAGAGGCACAAAGAGAGGCAGAGCCAGAGAGAGAAACGGACACAGACAGACAGACAGAGAGATACTTAGAGACAGAGCCAGAACAGACCGAGGGAGACAAAGGCATAAAGGAGAGGAAGACAGACAGGGTCAGAGACAAAGATGAACCCAGAGGCTTCCAGAGCAGGAAAGACTGGGGTGAGGCCCCGAGAAGGTGAGAGGAAGGAGAGAGGCACAGAGAGAGGGAGAGACAGATGGGCGGCATCTTCTCCAGCAGATATGCGAGCGACGTCCAGGAGTGTCTCCATCACTCTCCCACCACCGCATCTCACCCCGAGTGGGAATCACATTTGCGCCATGGGGCGGGGCCCCAGCATAGGTTGTGTTTTTGTCACTGGGCGGGTCTATGTGTGCGGTTTGGTGTCTCTGGGTGTGTCTGTGTGGGTTGCGTTGGTGTGACGCCAGGCTTGCCTCTGTGTGTCTCATTGCGCTGTGGCTGGCGGGTCCACGTTCTTGCATGACATATGACACGGGAGCGGCGAGGAGTTACATCTGTGTGTTCCCCCAAGAGTGGTGTCCAGAGGGTCACCGGTGACACCATGCGAGTAGTTTTGTGTCACTGTGCCAGTGAGTCCCTGTGCATTGCTGTAAGACGGTTTTGATCTGTGTCCAGGTGTATGGTGTGTACGGGTCCACACATGACTTCTGCGCTGCTGCATGTGGTCACATGCTGCGTTGCTGTGACTTCTGGGAGTCACCAGGCATCACTCTGCATAGTATTTGTTTTCCTGCCTGTCAGTGTGTGTTGTGTCTCTTTATGGGCATCGTGTGTGTAAAGCTGTGTATCACTCAGGGATGTGACCTGTGTCTCCTTTGAGGTACCTGTCCGTGTCAGGGGCTGCTCCTTTCCCTGCCAAGAACACAGCCCGAGTACCCACACTTGGAGTGTTGTGTTTGCATGGCTATGGATCTCACTGTACCAGAGGGTGTCTCCTGATGCAATGTGTGGTGCTGATGCAAGTCTGTGTCGGCTGTGTCACTGGGTCACATCTGCTGTTTCATGTGACACATGGTGTTTGTGAAAGGCTGTGCTGGCAAGACTGTATCAATGTGTTTTGCGTCATTTTGTCTTTGCATATTACTCTGTATATGTTGTGTTTGTGTGGCCACCCATGTCGGAGTGTGTGGTGTCCCAGGCCGTGTGTAGGTGCGGTATGTGTTGTCAGTCTGAGGCGACGGTGCCTGATTTACTCTGTGCACATTGCTCTTGGGCATCGGGGTCCGTGTAGTTTGTGCCTGGCCCCGTGGGGCACCATTCTGGGTTGTGCCACGTGATGCATCGAAGTAGATCAGAATGTCTTACATGGGGCATGTGCTACTGGGGTTTCTGTGTGTCACTAAGCCTGTAGGTCCCTGCATGCATCCTGCTCTCTGACTGTATATTTGAATGGTGTTGTGTGCTGGGTATATGGTGTGTCCAGGTGAATCCATGTGTGTTGTGAATCATTCTATGAACACATGTGCTGGAGTCACCGTGTGCCATGAAGTATGTGTGTGTGTTCCTCTACATGCTGAGTGATTGGAGGCTGCCAGGGGTGTGTCCTTAATTGTATGCTTGCACCTGTTGGTTATCATTCCACGGGAGTGTGACGTCTGGGTGCTATGAGTGCCCTGTTCACAAAGATATGTTGCATGTGGCATCTGGATACTGCTAGGTCAATACAGATTGTGTGTTTGTGGAACACTTGGTATCTGTTGTTTCTGTGTAGCTATGAATCGGCATCACCCTGTGTGGCGTCTCAGTGTGGCCATTTGTGTGCCAACTTTGATTGCAACGTGTGTGCCTGTGTGTGGACAGTATTTGGGTGGCCATGTGTGCCACGGGGCGCTGACTGCCTCGGCAAGTGCTGGCGTGTGTCACACCATGTGTGCGGTGTCTGGGTGTGGCTGTGGGTTTCAGAGCTTGCTGGGAGTTGTGAGTCACCCAGTGTAGGTTGTGTTGTGTGCTCATGGGTGTTAGGTTCTGTCTCCGGCCATGCTGTGTGTGAGGGTGTATCACCCAGTGTCGCGTGGTGTCTGGGTGTGGCCTGAGTGTAGGTGTGTATTACACGCTGCAGACGGTTGTGTGTGACAAAGCCCATTGTGTGTCAGTGTGTGTCTTCATCCACGTGAACGCACGCCTCTTCCTTGCTCGGCCCCAAGACACACCCCAGCCCCTCCTTAGTCTGAGAGGGAGGGTTGGGGAGCCTCCGTTCTGCCCAGGGGCCTCCCCAGCACCTCCCCGCCCTGCCCAGCAGTCACCACCCCCCCAGAGGGCACAGGCTTTGCTGTGCCTCAGAGCAAGAGAGCAGTGCAGGCCGGGGACCTGCAAGCCACAGTGGCTGCCCTTTGCGTGCTGCGAGGTGCGGGACTCTGGGCAGGAAGCTGGCTGAGCCCCAAGACCCCGGGGGCCATGGGCGGGGAGCTGGTGCCGGGCCTGGGGGCCCTGCGGCGGCGAAAACGCCTGCTGGAGCAGGAGAAGCGGCTGGCCGGCTGGGCACTGGCACTGGCGGGAATCGGCATCGGACTCATGGTCCTGCACGCGGAGATGTTATGGTTTGGGGGGTGCTCGGTGAGTGGAGGCTGGGGCCCGAGACTGCTGAGTCTGAGGGAGGAGGAGCTGGGGACTGGGATTCTGGGGTCTGAGGGAGGAGGGGCTGGAGGCCAAGACTCCTGGGTCTGAGAGTGGAGGAGGCTATGGGCTGGACTCTTGGGACCTAGGGAGGTAAATGTTTGCAGCCCTCTCTGCAAAAGGAAGGGAATAGGGGTCACAGAGTGTCAGTCTTAAAGGTACTGCAATTAGACAGTTGGAGGTCCAGGACCCCTGCAGACCAGGGTTGGCTGATAAGATACTGGAGATTCCCAAGAACAGATTAGTGGAGCAGTAACCCCAGGTTCGGGGAAGGGGGTGGTGAGAAGAGAGATTAAGTTCTTCCAGTAGGCAGCAGTTCCTTGGTCCTTATCTAAACTCTAACGTTTACCCAGTGTCTCAAAAGCAAAGGGCAGAAACCAAAGGACTGGCTGGAGTGGGGATGGGAAACGGAAAACAACCAGCCCCACCTCCCACTCCCCTTTCTCTATCATTAAGCAGCTCAGCCTCCCCAGAATCTACAGGCTAGGAAATAAGGGAGAGGTAGGTTTATAGTAGCCTGGACTCCTGGGTCCCAGGGGAGGAGGGGCTGGGGGGGTTCTGACTCCTGAGTTTGAAGGAGGCTTAGAGCATCTTATAGGGGAAGAGGGACTGACTTTGAGGCTAGTGTTAGTGGGGAAGGAAAGAACAGATGGGGCCCCGGGACAGGTTTGAGCAGGCTCCCAGCACATTTCAGCCCCGGTCCAGGCAGCGATGGGGGCAGATGAAGGACCCAGGTCAGAATTGGCGGCTTAAGGACAGGACAGAATTACTCAACAGGAAAGGAGGGGTTGGGGATCTGTCTGGGGTAAGGGACCAGGAATTGGGCTGGTTGGGGCACACTGATTTGAGGACTGAGTTGGGGGATTCCTGGGGGACAAGGCTCAGGCTGAAATTTGCAGGTGGGACAGGCAGACAGCTTGGAAGTGACCGGAAGCCACACGGAGGGTCAGGGCAGGCTAGGTTCCTCTGGCCGGGTAGCCAGGCGAGGGCAGCGGGCACTGAGGGGGTGGGGCCGCTAAAGCCCTTGCCAACAGGAAGCCCATGGCTGGGCCGACCCACCGCTCCCATGCTTCAGTGCCCCGCCAGCAGGGGAGGTGAGGACAGAGGAGCTTTGGCTGATGGGAAGGATGGGGGGTGGGGTGGTCTTTCTTTCACCACCCTGTCCCCTGGCTCTCTCACCTCCCATGGCTGCCTTCCCTCCACCACCTGCCAGGCTGCTGCCTCTGTCCAGCAGTGGGACTCTGAAATCTGCTGCAGCTCTCTGAGCCTCAGTTTCCCCAACTGGAAACTGGGGGTAAGGGTTGAAATACATGCTTCCTCAGCCCCCTTTCTGTGACAGCCTTGACAACATCCATGTCCTCTCTCCACCTTCATCGCAATCTAATGGCTCATTTTGCTGAGATCTAGGCACCTGCTCACCAGAGGGGAGGGACAGGGGCAGAGACAGGTGCCAAATCCCACGGATGCAGGGGAACATGATGGGGATATCAGCAGGGGTTGGGGAAAAGGGAAGGATGGAGAGAGGGACAGAGGCAGAGACTGAGAGAGACAGAGATACACAGAGAGACAAAGACAGAGAGACTAAGACAAAGATGCAGTGAGAGACAGAGTGGTACAGCCACAGAGAAAGGGGTCTAGGATCTGGGGCAAGAGGAACTGGAAAGGAGATAGGACCACCAGAGAAGTGGATTGGGGAGTGGGGAGGGGGTTGTGTCTAGTGAGGTGTTGTCTGGGACAAAACAAAGAAGACAGGTAACTGGGGAGCCATGGAAGGATGAAAGGGTGGGGGAGGGCTAAGGACAAGAGGACCATTGTTCAGGGAGGGGGGGTAGGCTCCCTGGGGCAGGAAACTGGCCCTCTTCCTCTGCAGAGGCTGGCCAGGCGAGGGGAGCTGGCAGCGTTTTAGGAGAAACAGGTGCTGAACTCTGTGTGGGAGCCTAGGTGGCCCCTTCCTCCCCATACCACCTCCCAGGAAGGGACCCCCCCCACAACACCTCCTAGGGAATCCAGCAGCCCCAGTCCCCTCTAAATCTTTCGCTCAAGAATTCTAGATTCCTCTAAGTTACTGTTACACAAAGAGAGGGAAAAAAAAACTTCCCGTGGTTTCTGGAGGCCATGTGCTTCCAGCCAGATCTGTCCTGGGCTTAGAGCCAGGAGGCAGGGCAGGAGGTGGGTTGGGGGGGCAGGTGGAGAGGAGATGCACAGGGCAGGACTGGGGGGCCCTTCTCAGAGCTGGGGCTCAGGTCTCAGGGACCCAGCTCCCTGGATGAGGGCAGTGGAGGGTGTCACTCATTCCTCGGGGATTGAGTGATAAGTTTCTAAGCTCCTCAGGGATTGGGTGGGGGGGATTCAGGGGGACTTGAAGTTGCTCTCTAGGGCAGAAACCAGTTGAGTGGGAAGGGAAGGGGTGCTCTTTAGAGACTAAATGTCTGTTTCTAGACACCCCTCCACACACACACACACACACACACACACACACACACACACACACACCTGAGGAATTACTTTTGACGGGGAAGGGTATGGGGATTTAAGAAGAAATGTGCGTTTCAAGGTCTTTCCTCAGGCGTGTGGTCCTAGAAGAGCTGAGGAGGAGGGTGGACACTGGCATCTAGGCTAGGGCTGTCCCATTGGGAAAGAAGAGGGTGCTCTCCTTGAGGACCAGATGATGGTTTTGAGACGTCCCCAGACCTGAGACATCGGGAGGAATTGGGTTGGGGATTAAGAAACTAGGAAATTGGGGATTGAGAAGGGATGTGGGTTTGGGAGGCAGGTAGAGGGAACTGACCTAGGATCTCACCCCTTTTTCTCTCCCTCCCGACAGTGGGTGGTCTACTTGTTCCTGGTTAAATGTATGATCAGCATTTCCACGTTGTTGCTCCTATGCCTTATTGTGGCCTTTCACGCCAAAGAGGTCCAGGTAGGGCAGGCCCAGCCCCTGAGTCCCTTCCTTGCTCCCCCCTGCCCCCACCACACCCTGTTGGCTCACACTTTCCACCTCCTGGGCTGAGTAATGTGCTTCCTCCACCCTGCAATACATCCACACCCTCATCCACCCGGAGGGGATGAACCACTGACAGACAGACAGAGCCACCTGGAGCAGCTCTGACCTTTCTCCACCTGCTGCCCTTGGTCTCACCTTGCACACCTGTAGATGCTGAGAGTTCCTGCCCCCAGGCAGGGCGCAGCCTCCCAGATCTTCATCCTGCATCCTTGAGTCCTCACCTATTCCAGTCCCAAGCAACCCAAGATCCTAGTTGTGTGCCCACAGGTCCTTCCCTACACCTGAGCTCCCAATAACCCACCCCCAAACCCAGGAGCCCTTCCCACCCATACCCTGCCTCCTATCTCATGCCTCACTGGACACTCAGCTCTCCACCCTTTCCCCTCTCATCCCATCCCCCACATCCCCAATCACGTTGCCTGCCCTTCTTTCCCCCATACCTTTGGGTATAAAATGCGGGTTATTGGCAATGTGAGGTAGTGCCCCTTGCAGTGCCTGGCACACAAGTGGCGCTCAATAAGAAGTACACATTATCATTAATAGCAGTCATTTGAGCCCTGGACCTCAGTTTCCACATCTATAAAATGGGGATAAGGATACTTTCAACCTCACTGACTTGTGTGCAGAGTCACAACCCATAAAAGGGATGGAGCAATGCCTAGTACCTCCAAAGTGCCCCATACATGCTAACTATTGTTTTTGCTACTGGGATGACTGCAGTTACTATAGTGTCCCCCCAAAAAGGAGCAGGACATGGCTCCATGGATGTGGAACGTAAGCTCCAGGGAGGCAGGGTTTCTGTTCTGTTCGCCCACAGCCTCGGTATATAGAACAATGTTGGCACACCGTAGGCACTCAGTAAGTGTTCCTGTAAGTTCTGGAAGTGGGCTAAACCTAGGACAGGGCAGAAGGTGGAGAGATGTCTTCCTTCGGTCCTGCCCTGCTCCTTCCCCCCCCTCCCCCAGCCCCATGCCCTGGCCTTGCGCTATCCCCTCTCGGGCCCAGCAGGCACACCCCCCTTATCTTCCAGCGCAGGCTGGGGAGCGAGCACCTGACCTTCGTGTGACCCCCTCTCCTCTCCGTCCGCCCCCTCCCCGCAGTTGTTCATGACGGACAACGGGCTCCGCGACTGGCGTGTGGCGCTGACCGGGCGGCAGGTGGCGCAGATCGTGCTGGAGCTGGTGGTATGCGGGCTGCACCCAGTGCCTGGGAGTGGCCCGCCGTGCACGCTGCGTTCCAGGTCCCAGCAGACAGCGGTCACGCAGTCCTGGCCGGGCTTCCTGGGCCAGGGGGAGGCAGTGCTGTCACTGGTCATGCTGCTGCGCCTCTACCTCGTGCCCCGCGCCGTGCTCCTGCGCAGCGGCGTCCTGCTCAACGCCTCCTACCGCAGCATCGGCGCGCTCAACCAGGTCCGCTTCCGCCACTGGTTCGTGGCCAAGCTGTACATGAACACGCACCCCGGCCGCCTACTGCTCTGCCTCACGCTTGGCCTCTGGCTCACCACCGCCTGGGTGCTGTCGGTGGCCGAGAGGTGAGGGTGCTGGAGGGTGTGGAGTGAGGGTACCTGGAGCATCTGGAGGAGCCACTTGGGGAAAGCTATCTGTCCATACTCTCACCCACTGGGGTGGGAGGACACCACAGGCCAGCCCCAGACCCTTTCCTCCACCTGCAGCCTCCAGTCTCCCCAGACACACACAGACCCCAGGAAGCCCTGTCCTTCCTGCTTTCAAACCTCTCCTACCTTAGGTTTCCAGGCATCCGTTCAGTCTCCAAAGCTAGGCGCTGGGGCCTGGCCAAGGGCTGCATCTGCACTGAAGAACCGGACACCTTTTCTGAATTAGCACAGATGCACCGTAGGCACTCCGGGTGACCCGGGGGCTGCTCTGGAAGGGACTGCCCTGCAGGGAAATGGTATGGAATTCCAGGCTGCCTGCTAGACTTTGACCTGGTGCTGGGCCTGTACCTTTTAAGGGCCTCCATTTATCTTACAGGTAAAGAAATCGGGGGTAGTCTTGGCCAGTGGTTCTCAAAGTGTAGTTCCAGGACCAGCAGCATCACTTGGGAACTGGTTGCATATCCAAATTCCCAGGACCCCATCCAGATCTATGGAATCCAAGACTGTTGGTGGGAGGGGCCCAGCAATCTGTTTTAACAGTTGATTCTGATGCTGTCTCAAGTCTGAGAACTTCTACTTTAGTACATTTGGTAAAGGATTTTTGAGGGGAGGTGGTGAATGAGAAGATCTGCCCTTAGATCTCTTCTCTCTGAGCCTCTGTAAAATGGGTGTCAAATTCCACCATCTTTAAAATCTCCCTGGCAATTCTAATCTTTCAAGCTTTTAAACTCATTCGTCTTACAGATCTCGGTTCTCTCAGTGGGGAAATCAGTCAGGATCTGTAAGTGATCCTCCTGCTAATTCTCTCAGCTGAAAAATGGGAGGATGGGGAGGAAGTCAAATTGCTAAATCCCAAGACAGAAGTCCTCAAACTGGAATGTACTTTGGGATGAGGCGGGTGGGGCTTAGTGAAGATTCAACTCCACCTCCAGACACTAATTCAGTGGGTCTGAGTATCTGGGGCGCTGATGAATGACGCTTTCCCTGCTTTGGTCTAACTGTGGGTCAGAGTTAGACAAACCCTGATTTTCAATCCCTTCCATGACTGCCTAAAATGTCCCTTTCTATGAAATGAGGGGGAAAGAGGGTAGAGTCCTGCCAAGCCTTTTTAGAGTCCCACCTTTCTAGTCCTGATAGGGACGTCTCCAGGCCGTATCAGGGACCTGGGAGTTTGTGAGAAGTTAGAAAAAGGTGCCCTTTCCTCGGGGTCATGTAGCCTTCTGCCAGTCTGACAAGTGGCCCCCTCTAAACCCCCTCAACCACATGCCTGGCGGCCCTGGTAGCCTAGCTAAAACCAAACAGGCTTAGGAATTGGCCGGATCCAGGTTCAAATCTCACAGCAAAGAGAAAGCCAGGCGCCAAAGCCCAGTTCTTACTGGCTTTTTCTCTGAATGCTTCTTGGGACAGTGGGTACATGTTAATAAAAACGGTATCAAACATCACAGAAACCCCTGGGGCGGCTGTGAACTAACCCCCACCCCTTCCCCACAGGCAGACTGTTAATGCCACCGGACACCTTTCAGACACACTGTGGCTCATCCCCATCACATTCCTGACCATCGGCTATGGGGACGTGGTGCCGGGTACCATTTGGGGCAAGATTGTCTGCCTCTGCACTGGGGTCATGGTGAGTTTACCTGTTCAGGGACCCTACCCTTATCCCAAACTGCTCATACCCTGGGCCCCAGGAAACCATGGAGCCAACAAAGGCAATCAGGGACATCCTTGAGAAACTTGGGTGTCTGTCCCTACAGTCCCGTTCCCAGTCCAGGACACAGACACCAGCCAGCCCTGTTTCCCTTGAAAACCCAAGAATCCATCCCCAAAGTCCTTGCTCTCTCCAGAACCTAGGACCCCAGCCGTCATCCTCCTCAGGAACAAAGGCCCCTGACTTCCCAGCCCTGTTTCCTCCCAGGATCCAGGAATCCAGTGCAGAGCTCCATTAAGGCGTGGGTGTCTTGTCTCCCCCGCCACTTGCCCTCTCAATCACTCAAGAACCTGGTTTCTTAGCTCTAGGCTCCTCCAACACCTAGGAACCCAGTCTCCCAGCCTCCATTAGGGCGACTGAGTCCAATCATCAAGAGCAGCCTGTGCGTGCAGGCTGCCTGGGTCCGAATCCTGCTCCTGCCACTTCCTAGCTGGGAGTCAGCCATATAACCTTTCTGGGCCTCAGCTTCCTCATCTATAAAACCAGGGCTGCTGATACCACTGTCCTCCTCATGGGCTTCCTGAGAATATTAAATGAATTAAACCATGTAAAGGGTCTAAAACACATAGGAAATGCCCCATAAATGGGTCACGGGGTAGGGATGGTTGACACTGTTATCGTAACTGGTTCCAAGCATCCAACTATCCCTACCCCAGCTCCTGGGTCCTCAAGGATGAGGCAGAGGCTCCCCAAGCCCCAGACTCAAGCCTCCTCCCAAATCTAGACAACCACTCCCTTCCCTTCAGAGGCCCAGGCCTCCAGTTCCCCCCACCCAGCCTCTATCCCCCTCCAGTACCCACCCCTAATGCCTTGGCCTTCATGTTCCCATGAGATCTGGCTCCCCTCACCCTCAGGGACTCAAGCTGCCCTCCCCCAGTTCTGTTGTTGTCCCAGGAAGGACATGCTGAATCTTCCAGCCCTGGGTCCACAGGTGCTGGATGGGGTGGCAGGGAAATGTGACAACTCCCCCTCCCCACCAACTGGTGAGTCTTTCCAACTAGGAAGCGGGGCAGAGGCTCAGCCAGCACAACACTCCCAAAGGGTCAGGGACCCTCAGGGCTGCCTGGGACCTCCTGTCTCATTTGAAAAGGAGAAACTGAGACAGAGACAGAGAAAGTGACCTGCACTAGAGCGCACAGCCCACTCCTGGCCCAGAGGTTCCATGGAACAACGGAATAATAATGGCTACCTTCCCCAGCTTCAAAATAACAACAGTAACAATAATAATAATAATAGTAATAATGGCTAACTTTATTGGACACAGACTCTGTGCAGTCCCTGCTCTGACGACTTTCCAGGTGTTAATTTATGGAACCCTTGGAGTAATAGTGTGAGGGTGTGCCCATTTTACAAATAAGAAACTCGAGATTAGATAACTTGCACAGAGCTGGACTTGGAACCGAGGCAGTCCCCAAGCCAATGTTGGTAACTGGTAAATGACAAACCAGTTCTGATGGTCCAGAGCTGAAACACATAGGGTGGAGGAAGGCTACAAAGACCGATTCCAACTCCAGGGAGAGTGAACAGGTGCTATAGAGCAATGGGATTTGATGGGGCCTTGAAGGATCAGAGGCCTTGGGAGAAGGAAGGGAAAACAGTGACTGTTCAGACCAAGGTGCTCAGGCAGGTGAGAAAGAATGATGCTGAGGCTGAGTTGCCTGGGAGGGAGGCTGGGCAGAGAAGGAAGAGCAGCCTAGACCTTGGAAGGCCTTAAAAGCCGCTCTATGAAGTCTGCGATAGTTGGAGCCTAGAAGATTAATGTGAGGGGGGCAGGGTCATAATTGGGTATTAGATCTCCCTGGGGTTTGGGTGGGATAAGGAGGAGGCTAGAGAATGTCCAGGAGGGAGAGGACACAGCAAGAGCAGGGCAGAGGCTGAGGAAGTGGGAAGGAGGGGGAGGGACACCCTTGGTGACCTGATGGCCGGCTAGGCTGTGGGGAGGAAGGGGTCCCACAGGAGCCAGACCTTGGCCCCTCACTCAAAACCAGCCCTTCTCTCCTATCTCCAATCACACTCTTAACAAAAGAGGCCTGTCTAATGGTGTAAAAGCCACACCCAGGAGTTGGATCCCAGACATGTAATTTAGGATCCTGGCTCTGCTTGTCGGAGCTGTGAGACCCTGGTTCTCTCCAGGCCTGTATGCTTCTCTGTCAACTAGCGGTGGTCATGCCTGCGTCTGTGGCTGTGGGGAGGGCTCAAGGGGAGAGAGTTGGTGGCACATGGCTGCCCACAGAGCCCTACTGCTCTGCTGTGCCCACAGGGGGTCTGCTGCACGGCTCTGCTGGTGGCCGTGGTGGCCCGGAAGCTGGAGTTTAATAAGGCAGAGAAGCATGTGCACAACTTCATGATGGACATCCAGTATGCCAAAGAGGTGAGGCTCAGCGCCCAGGGCACACCCCTCCCTCAGTCCCGGGAGGCCCCACCCCCGCCCTGTCTTCCCAGAGTCCCAGGGGTCCATCTCCATCAACACTGTGCCGCCCACCCCTAGATGAAGGAGTCAGCCGCCCGGGTGCTTCAAGAGTCCTGGATGTTCTACAAACACACGCGCAGGAAGGACTCCAGACCTGCCCGCAGGCACCAGCGCAGGCTGCTGGCCGCCATCAACACGTGAGGGCCTCTGTGTGCATGCCGTGTGCATCTGTGTCCGCGTCTCCTCCTCTCTGCACAGCTTGTGTGTCCAAGCAGGAATGCGTGCCCAGGTTGGGATGCTCACGTGCGGGCCCACCTGGACCTCACACTGACTCTGTGTGTCTGTGACAGTTCAGTTTGCATGTCTCAGAGGGCCTGGGGGACTGGATGCCTGGGCCTCTACCTGGGAGGTAGGCTCACAGGTGCAGCCACCATCTCCCATCCCTTCAGTTCTCTGGCTTTTCCTCTTTGAACTTTTCTCCGTGGGTCTCTCCTCCCCTCACTTCACCCCTGAGCTAGGGCCACTTCTGATCCCCCATTTCCTTGTCCTACAGGTTCCGCCAGGTGCGGCTGAAACACAGAAAGCTCCGGGAACAAGTGAATGCCATGGTGGACATCTCCAAGGTACCAGGATCCCCTGAATGGGGGTCTGGAAGAGGGAGGTTGGGGGCAGCTGGTAAGGAAATCTGGCCTGAGAATAGGGACCACTGGCACACACAGGCAATAAAGGTTTGTGGTTGAATGAATAAGTGAATGAGTGAGTGAATGATGCAACAGAGTTCCTCCTGTAAGATGCAGCTTCCTCCAAACTTAAAAGAATTTGTACAAAGAACTCCACTGTTTGATGTTAAATTATTTGCACTAGACGGATACAAAAATTCCTTTCAACTACAACTCTTGTACAACAATAAAACCAAAGCAAATTGACAAACCAAGTTCAAACATAAAGGGCAGAGCAATAAAATGCAAATTAAAAGCCCCGACACACAAAAGGGTGACACTGTTTCGGGAAAACTCAATCTGTGCTGCTACTGTGAAGACGGGGCCCCAGGCCCTGGGTGCTCCTATCCTGGGCACCCTTGCCTGGCCAAGATGTGACTCAGCTGGCCCTCCCTGCTGGGACCACTTGACTCTGAAGTGCCAGGAGGAGGTGGTGATGTCAGCACCCTGCCCTGTGGCCCACAGCTTGGCTCACTGAACCTCTTGCTAATCTGGTAGCCTTTGTTTTTTTCTCACTAGTCCGCGACAATTCAAACAGTGGCCCCTGGCACCTGTGCCATGGTAAACACAGCCCCAGATGCCGGCCCCTGAACTGCACGGCAGGCCTCCGTGAGGCAGTGGTGGCCTAGATGTGCCGGAATTGGCAGGTCCTGATTTCCAAGGCTATCCATCCGGCCCAAAACACGGAAGTTAAGAGTTCTCACAGAAAGCTCTCACACCCTCAAGGATGAAGCTGGGAATCCTAGTTTGAGAAGGCAGGGGACACGGATTGTGTGGATTGTGAAGCCAGGCGGTCATCAAGGCTACAAAGATTTAAGTGAGCACCTACTACGTCCCAGGGCCTCCCTATTCTAGGTGCTGCCTTGGGCGTGTCCTTTAACAGCTCCAGGCCTGTTTCCTCAGCTGTTAAAAATGGAAACAAGATTCTCGTTCCCCTCACTTTTAGGAGGATTTTAAACTATATATGAGAAGCACTGGGCCAGGTGGCTGGGATGTGGCAGGAATGGTAACTGCTTTTATTGGGCATAATCCCCAAGAGCCTGTAAGGGTTTAGTCAATGATGGTTCTGCTGCCTCACCCCACAGGGCGGGAGGGCACCTTCCCCAGCCCCCTGATCCCTCCGACCTCTCCCTGCCCAGATGCACATGATCCTGTGTGACCTGCAGCTGGGTCTGAGCAGCTCACACCAGGCCCTGGAGAAGCGGATTGACGCGCTGGCAGGGAGGCTGGACACCCTGACCGAGCTGCTTAGTGCGGCCCTGGGGCCCCGGCAGCTTCCAGAACCAAGCCAGGAGGCCACGTAGCTGGTGAGGGGGCTGGGACTTGGGCAGGAGAGCATCCTGGAGGAAGGATGCCTGTGGCTGGCACCTCACGTGGCTAAGGGCGTGGGAGATGGGGATCCGGCCACTCTTTCTCTTCTGCTCTGGCTCTGTCTGGAGGAAAGGACTCCAAGTTCCGGGCTGAACTGGCAGCAAAAGCAGCAGACATTCCTTCTGCCCTCCGCTGACGATCAGAACCCTCTCCCTCTCTCTTTGCTTGGTCTCTGTCTCTGCCTGTCCCTGGACATGTTCTCTGGCTCTGCCCAAGTGCCCATCCACACCCTTGTCTCTTGGTATCAAGTCCACCCACCCTCCTCCTCCACCCACTGGTTCCTGTCTGTCTCTACTTCAGTGCCCCTGCTCTGGCCCTCCCTCTGGTGTCTGGCCTGCCTGTCTAGCCATTTCTCTGTGTCTCCCCAGACCCACGGAGGAAGAACCAGACTACTTTCTCCAGGACTGAGGTCAAGGACATTTTCCCTGCTACTCCTGACGCAGCCCCAGGCAGAAAGCACCTCAAGTGTGAGGATCTAAGGGGGCCCCACCTTGGGGTGGGCTGACTTGCTGCTGGCTGCCGGAGGGGACACTGGCTGAAGGAGGGAGGCCATGGCCCAACCCCCACCGAGGCCCCAAATGGGAAAATGGTCACCCCTACCCCAATACCCTCGACAAAAACACCCTCACTCTGCTGCTACAGACGACCACCTGCTTTCAGTGAGACGTGGAGTTGCCTGGGAGCTGGGACTCCTGGGTCCCAGAGGAGGAGGGGAGTTGGGGTGTCCAGGATCCTGGGCTGCCCCAGTCACCCGCTGGCCGGCAGAGCCAAAGGAACCAGGCCTGAGGCTGGGATGAGGTGGGAGGCAGCGTTCCCTGGTGGGAGAGCGAGGAGGACACCATTTTTCCAGAGCAGCAGATAATTACCTGTCTGGATAAGGTGGACTGGGGGGTGGAGGGTGCATTATTTGTAATAAATGTAAAAGTCAGAAGTTACTGTTTCTTTCTAAACATAACCACACTCCAAACAAGTAGGTCGGCCACTGAAAGGCCCTTGCCCTCTCTTAACCTGTTTCCTCATCTATAGAACAGAGGCCTCCAGAAGTGCCCTCCCAGGTCTGTAGGCTAGTGAGTCCTCAACACCGGCCCCCTGCCTTGCCCAGATCTGAGGTTAAGAGCAAGGGCTTCCAATTTAGACAGATCACAGTCCAAATCCTGGCTCTGCCATCCACTGGCTGTATGACTTTGGGCAAGTGGCTTCACCTCTCTGAACATTTTGCCTCACTTGTAAGATGAAGCCAACCTCCCCATGGGACTGCTGTGAAGATTAAAACCAGGAGTGGCACAGCGGGGCAGCGGGGAGGTCAGGCATTTAGTAAGAAGCAAATCGAAGTGAGATACTTAATTGTTTTTATTATGCTATTGATTTTCAGACACAAGGAATGCATGGAGGCCCTTTTTCTTTTCTCTGCTGCCTTTTTCCCTCTACTCATATCCACCAGAACCTAGATGACAACTCACCCATCAGGAGACTTAACAGGAACCCCAGACCAACCCACATACTCCTTTCGTATCTGCCGGGACTCAGACAGGAAAAGGGGAGGTCTATTGTATGCCCAGCTCTGCGCTCTCTTTTTATAAATCACCACCCCCACTCCCTGCCCCACTCCATCCCACTGTACAGACACAGGAACTGAGGTTTCAAGAGGAGTAGGGCCAGAAAAAAGTAAGAAAAATTAAAATAATTAAAAAGAAAAGAGAGACAGAGACAGAGAGAATCTGGGCTGCAGGGCCCAGATTCACACCCATCTCGTTCTGCTCCTGAGCCTGACTTCTCTGCCCTACTTGAGGTGAGTCACAGGCAGAGTGGCCTTGGACCCCAGACCTAGGTCTCCCTTCCCACCGCCACTTTGTTCCATTTTGAGAGGCTGATTCATCCTCACTTCCTCTGATATGTGGGGAAGCCCAGGCTGCCAGTCATCCTCTGCTGAGCTATCTTTGGATTTCCCTGCAGGTCCACAGCCAGCCTCGCCCCTCAGCCCCCAGAGCTAAACTGGGGCCTATGCCACCCACTCCCACTGATTGCCCTTCCTCTGGCTGCCAGCCTATGTGGGGAGGAGAGTCAACGGGAACTAGACGGGCCCTCCAAAGATATTTCCAACACCCTCCCCCTGCAGTAAGGCCTCTTCAGTGTTGCCAGATCCCCTGCAGACTCATTCCCTTCCTAGTCTACTCTGCTTCAGCTGGTAAACTCCTTCCTACTTCTCCTTTGGATCTTAGCTTAGACATCCCCCTCCTCCAGGAGGCCCTCTCTGAAGCTCCCAGAGCCCCATGAACCTGCCTCTATCACAAGAATATTTACTGCACCAAGCCCCATGTTAAGTCCTTTATATAAATGATCTCACAGAACCTCTGCAAAAGGAGGTTAGGTGGGTATTACTGGTCCCATTTGACAGAAGAAGAAACTGAGACACAGAAATTAAGAAACCTGCCCAAAGCCACAAGAAAGAGCCGGGGGAGCTGGGATCTGATCCCGGCAGCCTGGATCTGGAGTGCCCCAGCACTTAGCCAGCTGCCCATTCAGACACTCGGAGATCATTACATCCAAGATTTTCATTTTTGTTCTTTATCATGTCTTCAATGTCAAGGGCCTGGCGTATGCAGAGCCTCGGTGAATAGCAATGAATGAACACGCTGACCACCTGGGATGGCCAGAAGCTCATCACCTGCCACGTTAGTTTCACTGAGATGGGAACTGGTTAGAGGGGGCTTTGCCTAAGTGACTAAGGGCACACACAAGCGAGCTCCTGTTCTGAATTATCTCGGATCCAGATTCACCTCCCTGCCCCCATTCTCCACTGTGGGGCATGGGTCCTGATCCCCACCCCTCAACCTTTGCTATCCCCTCAAACAACTGGCACTTCTTGAAGGCCCTGCACCAGGGGTGGGGGCTGTAGGCATGAGTCGGAGGGCTCTGTCCTTGAGGGACTCTGTCTCACAGTGATTTTGGCCATTTCTCTCTCCTCCTTCTGTCTTGCCTCCTCTCCCAGAAGAGAATTGGGTGGAGAAAAGTGGGTCCAGAGAGGCCTGGGGCTTACCAGGCTTAGAGAGGCAGTCAGAAGCCCAGGCTCAGGGCAGGGCCTCTCCCACACATACAACCCCCTCTCCCCCACTACATGGCCCCAGACACGACTGGGCCCTTCTCTTGCTCAAAACCTTTCCATGGCTCCCACCTGCCCTTCTGTCAAAGTCTAGCTCCTAGGCTTAAGTCACTTTCTCTTTGACTGAGACTGATTTTATATAAAGTACACAAATTTTAAGTGTAGGCTTAGTTGATTTTTACAAATGCATTCACCCAAGTAGCCACCACGCAGCTCCAGCTTGACGTTTCCAGTCCCGAAAACCCTCACGTCCCTCCCATCTTGACTCCTTCTGCCCAACTTTGAAAGAATCGTGCTGCACACCTGGTACCTGCTTCTTGGGACCAGCCAGGTATGCATTTGTTTTCACTACGGGATAGTGTGAATACACCCACAGGCCTCACCTGTGGCTGGGGGTGGGGGGTAGCAGAGCAGGGGCTCTCTAGGCTCTGGCCCCAGCCCTCCTCCAGCCTCCCTGTCCTGGCTGCTCAGAATTCTGCACCCAATTCCAGTGTGTGACGTTTTTCCCCACACCAAGCAATTCTCAGACACCACAATTCAACTTAACCCTGACACTGCCTGGAGACAGCATCAGAATCCATGGGTTAAGGGCTTGGTCTTACAAGACTCCCCCAGCCCTCCCCGCTTCAGATGCCAATTGCAAGTCCAGGCTGTCACCTGTGCTTCTGACCAACTGACTACAGATCAGAGGTTTCAGCAACTCCTTACTTGGGTTTGATGAGTGGCTCACAGAACCAAGAGACACTATTTACTTACTAGATTATTGGTTTATTATGAAAAGAAGTAACTCAGGAACTACTTCAGGGAAGAGATGCCTAGGGTAAGGTACAGGGAAGGGGCAGGGAACTTTCATACCCTCTCCAGGTACCTCTCTCTCCAAATCACACGTTCAACCAACCTGAAAGCTCTCCAAACCCCATGCTTTTGAGTTTTTTATGGAGGCTCCATTATATAGTCATGATTGATTATATCATTGACCATTGGCCCTTGATTTGCCCTCCAACCCCTCTGCCCTCCCTGGAGGCGGAGGTGTAGGACTAGGAGTCTCAACCCTCTAATCACATGGTCGGTTCCCCTGGCAACCAGCCATCCTTAGGTTACCTAGGTGCTTTCCAAAAGCCACCTCATTAACATAACAAAAGACTGTGGCATCTGTTCTCATCACAGGAAGTTCCAACAGTTTTGGGAGCTCTGTGCCAGACTCCAGGACAAAGACTAAGTACATATTGATTACAAATGACAGTATCACAGCTGCTCCTGCCCCAGGACTCCTCTTCCTTCCCAAAGACTCCTCGCTGTAACTGCACACCACTCTCGCATCCATTTTGCTTCACCCACATAGAACAAACATCGCCAGTGTTTGGCCAGTTCTTCACTATGATCCATATAGGAAGCCATATCATCTCCATCAACACCAGACTGCACGCCAAGGACCTGTTCTGAGCATTGATGCTGTGTGGAATAGTTCCAACATATAAAGACAAGGAGAGTGGTTTTTATAATTTGGAGATGTCAAATGGTAACACTTTCTTTTCTTTTACCAGGATGAGCTGGCCCTCCTTCTATTCAGGTCCAACCCCGTCTCCACCTGTACCCCGTCTGCACTTTCTCTCATCTTCTTGAGGACCCAGGTCCTGAGTCTCCTCTCTTGTCCATTTCCCCGCTCTTACTTCCATCAGCACACAAACGTGCTGTCATCCCTCTCATCTTAAAAACACGCCACTGGGACGTGAAGCAGTTTATATCCTCCATTATCCTTAAAGCTCCCTATGAGTCACCAAACTGCAAAACATCTGGAATTCATATTCAGAGGCTTTATTTTAGATATTGCGAAATAATCAGTGTGTGGAAATCCTTTCAAAGTTTCTATAGAACTAACTCCTGTTATGTTCAACAAAAGGGAAGACCCTTACAGACCAAAGAGCTAAAGAAGGCAGACAACACAGAAGACCTGCTGTAAGATTTCATTTATATCAAGTTCAAGATCAGGCACAACTCACCATAGTGACCAGAATCAGACCAGTGGTTGCTTCTGGAGTGGGGGAGTTGACAGGGAAAGGGCCCAAGAGAAATTTCTGGGGTGCTGGAAATAGTCTTTATCTTGACTTGGATAGTGGTTACACAAGTATATATTTTATAAAAATTCATTGACCTGTACCCTTAAGATCTGTGCCTTTTCTGTATTTTGCCACATTTAAGTTATACCTCACCAGTAAAAAGCTAAGGAAAAATAAGAACCCATAAACTTTTCCTTATAAAATCTGTATTATGATATTGAAACATTTCCGTAACACAGTTGAGAGGGGGATAAGACAGCCATGTTTTCTTCATGGCAGACACCATGTCCACCTCCAGCTACTGCCCATAACTCTGCCCCTTAGGTTTTGCTTGTTTTCTTGTTTTTTAATTTTTGGGGGGGGGGATTAGGTTTATTTATTTATTTTTAATGGATGGACTGGGGATTGAACCCAGGACCTGGTGCATGCTAAGCACCCACTCTGCCACTGAGTTCTGCCCTCCCCACCTGCTCCCTAGTTGATCACCATCTTTTTGGAACCCTTTGTTCCCCTGGCCCCAGGTCATCGCTTGTCCTAATGTTCCTGCTCCCTGTTAGCCCCTGTCCAGGATGCTGGTCCTTTCCTGATTCCTAAATGTGGGAGGCCCAGGGCTCAGTCTCTGCTCTCTACACCCCCTCAGTCTGGATGGTTTCAGCAAATCCCAAGGCTTTAAATACCATCTATATATTAACAGACCCCTCAAATAGCATACTTGTATAGTTACTGATAAAATGACAGGACAGCTGCAATTTGCCTAAATGCTTAAAAAATAAGGAAAGAAACTAAGGAAAAAATGTGCTTATATGTATGTACCAGAAAGAAATAGAAGAAACAAGTAAAATGTAGATGACTGTCCATA